TCTTCAGAGCTATGGCTTATTTTTGTTTGGTGGATATGTCAACAAACAAAATTCTCGCATATGTAACAGCGGAAATCTAGAAGTAACTGTCAAAAGGTGTAAAGGACCCATAAAATAACAAGAATCTAACACAAACCGTCCATTCTAATTGATGCAGCCATATATGCAACACTTCTTTTGGCGTTAAATTGGGAGTAGGTATGTATGTGAGAGATATGTGGTTTCAATAGAATGATATCAATTGCTCTGTTTGTCTCTATAAGAAAAGTTATAAATATGACTATTATTCACCCAAAAGTTTCACCCACAAATTTCAGTATTTCAAAAATGATGAGTTTAAAATATTAGATAAAGTACGAACTTTTAAAATAAACTCCATGTCAACAATAATCTGTAGAATCATCATATATTGGCAGGACCACCTACATGCATTGAAAATAGAATGCAAGTTGGAAGCCATTTATTGTGAGAGGTAGTGATATTGAAAATAGTATATAAATTGTAGCTCAAACAACACAGAGGTACTGATGACGAAGAATGGGTAAATTAAGATAGCATATAGCGTAAAGTAATTTACGGGTATATATGACAAGACAGTGCTTTTGTACAGGTTTAGACAATATGATTTGCAATTGGTAGAATATAATAATAATGCTTTTATGGAGAATCGTTACCACTATAAAATTATACATTTAAAATAAGCCACTGTGTAAAAATGGCTGTATAAGGAAATAAATCATCTACGAAAAGCACACATTCATGTACTTATGAAAAATTATTGGAAGGGATAAAAATGGGAGAATCTATTGTACCCGCCATATTTGCAAGATATCATATTACCACTTGTTCGTACCAATAATTAATACTTTGAAAAAGCAACGGTTCAACAACTTTGTTCATAAAAAAACCTTTTATTATTATTAATTATTGCAATGTATGCTCGCATATATAAAGTAGGATAAGAAAAAAGAACTACAATACAGTTTGAATAGGTACAGGTAATTAATTTTGACAGTAGAAACCCAAATCGTTAGAATGTATTAACAGAGAAGGAAATAAAATATATATGCTTTTAGTGTATGGTGTTTGGTGAAAGATATAGACTGTTAAAGGATGAGTAGCGGTAGAGCTCGAATGCCGCAAGAATGATTAATAATGGCAATATATTTGATTTCTGAACTTATCACTAAAGGTGATTGATTTTGAAATAAAAACTCTGAGTGCAAATTATTTTAAACCAATTTGTACACATTTTAATACATATATTATATTACAAGCAAATGTATGTATGTGCTTCCAGGATCCAAAAATTAGTCTATTTATTATTTCTGTTTTTATTAACCAAAATCCTTTTTAACCTGTAAAAAGAAGAAAAATTATTATTTCCTTCATTTAGATCCATTAAAATCTCAAGGACAACATTTTCCATATTAGCTTTGATATATTTAAATTGTAGACATTTAAATTTAAAGTATCTCGTTATAGTCTTGGGTTATATAATGCGCTACTTAAAAGCATCGCCGTATGTTATCGCACTTGGAAACCTTCACACCAGAGTTGAAAAATCTCTTTTATGAAATAAAAAAATCTAGAATCATTTTAAATCAGGTTTTATATTAAATACTTTTCGCGTTGAAAGTGAGTTCTACTTATGCAACATATGAGCTATGCCTTCACTTTACACGTGAGCTACAATGGAATCGTTTGGCGTTACGTATACGCACCGTGAAACCTTTTTTCGTAAGAGTCAAAGCAGCTGCTGCAAATTTCTTTCGAAAAATTGTTTATAGTTATTGTTGCAGAAGCATTTGAGGACCAATATTATTTCGGAAATAATAGACATATTTATATTGTTGTTTAATTTGAAATTCTTTAAAAATTTTATTTGATAATATTTTGGTTTAAAGAATTTTCCCAATAAAAAGTGTTATATACAGAAAGACAATAATAATTTCTACTAAATGCTAATATGTGTCAATTTCAACAAAATGTTTTAATCAAATGATGGCATTTATGTTTTTTAAAACTACTGTGACTTCCAAGGAATGAAAACAAACAGTAAAATAACTTTAATTGTTAAATTCTTAGTAGATTTTATATTATACATTGTAAGATTGCCAGAATTTTTATGGAAATCTGCACATAATTTTATTTTATAAACATTTTTAATAGTTAAAAATATAATATTTTTGATAATGTATTTAAATTTTTTAAAAGATTTATTTAATTAAAGTGGTATTTCTAAGTATTCCACAAAAGTTAAACTTTTAAAGAGTATTTTCTTTTTAGTGAACTTACGCTTTTACTTTATGGTGTTTACCTGCTTTCACTTCAAAAAATAATATTTATATCATTGTATATTATTTTATATTCTAAGTAATTAGTGTTGTACGCATAATAATTACTTAATGCATATGTATAGTTATTACTTATGTTTTTATTCAAACTTATTTCGAAATAATTTCGATTTCTTATGGGTATCATTTACGCAAATGTGAAGTCATGTAAAACGCATCCATTAAAAAAGTGAAAATATATACTGTCCGATTTCGTAAATGATGTTAATTGTGTACTACATACTAACACGCATAAGTATACAAATAAATAATATTCAGTAACTTTGTTTATTAGTTTTTGGCGTTAAGGTATTTGAACTGCAATCTAATAGGCGTAAATACAAAAATGGCGAATGTAAGAATTAAATAAGTTTCGGCTTATTAATAATACCTGACAGCATTGCAGACGCCTAATAAATATTCAATGATTTAGCTCACTAATGGAAATAACAGCATTAATTATATATTATTTTTGTTGTTTTACAAAACAAGTGAACTTAATTTGAACTATGTATATACATAGTTAAATTACATAGTATATACATAGTTGACTATATACATAGTCAAACATAAATAATATAAATAATATTAATATTAATATTGCGAATATTTACAGCAATATTCTTAAAATTCAAATACTATAAATATATATACACATATTTAAAAAGCAACAAATTGCCATATTGATCCGTGTTTTATAATTGCAATTACTGATCTATATTCCCAAATATATTAATAAAAATAAAAATAAAATAAAGTATAATTAGCAGATTACTACTTTCCTGATAAAATCAAATTAAACATGCTTTTGGAATAATATCGTAATTAAATTCGGGTTCTGGAATAGTACGGCATTTACACTGGCCTCAAATGGCTCATTTTGGTCAAAAATCGAAAATGTGAAGCAAATGGCTCATTCTTGGATACAAAATTTCAAGCGCGAATGAGAGCCATTGGATCACATTCTGTATGAATGCGTTCCAACAAGGGTCGAATGTGTTCCAAATGCATAGAAATACATTGAACTTACCCTAAATAAAAGCTTTTCGTGGCATTTTGGCAGTTTGAGAAAGCGATTTTTGACATATTCACAAAAAAAGGTAAACAAATGTTTGGTGGTTGCATTTCCTTGAAAACAATGCACCTCTCTTTGGAACATCTACTTCCCAAAAAGTACATAATACAAGTTAAAAATATGTTTTCAGTTTATATTGTAAGGTTTGAAGGTTTGAACCTTCATGCAACATTTTTTGTGGCACAGGCCATAAATCAAATTAACAGGCAAGTTGAAAAATCAGCTGTGTTTAAAAAACATTAATAATTCGATATCACTGAAAAAGTAATATATAAACTTTTTTAGTATTATTATTACTATTTTGATATTCAGATGTCTGAGTTGGTGAATCAGCACCTTTACTCTATTTTATCTGTGGACAGTTTTAAATCACACTAAATACGGGGCTTTACGGGGCTTTATAATATGATGGATCTGATGATGATAATAATAATAATAAAACTTACTATTTATAGTAAGAAAATCATTTTAATTATAATACCAAATGCAGCTGTTTGAGGGCATATCTAATTTAATAACTGACAGAGTGAAATAAAGGGCTCGATTAAAATCCAATTTTTGCCTTCCAGGTGAAAAATTAAAGAGATTGTTTTGTACTTCTTTATTGATATTTATAGATATATTTTAAAAAATATTTAAAAGACGTTTTCTACACAAACTTATTGTAAAGTTTTTCAATATTATTCCTTAGTTAATTTTTATTTCATTAGCCGGCATATTTATAAATGATTCGTTTTTTGATGCTGTTAGCTGCCAATCTGACTTTTAATTCACATACTTCAAGGTTCTGAACTGACATTTTTATAACATTTACAAGAAATAACGGCTCGCTATAATTCTAGATTAAAGGGTTTCTTTGACTTTCAGTATTTTAAAGATATTTTGAAGCTAAAAGTTGCTATGTTTATTTTTATTTATGAACATAGTCGTGAAGCGATTTTTAATAAGATTTCAAATTGCCAGTGGTTATATCTATATAGTTTTGTTTAGTTAAAAAACTAAACTAAACAAAACTTATATTTATATTCATTATTTTTTTCTTCTGATATTCTTGACAATTTTGATAACTGGTATGATATGGCAGAGCATATTATTGTCAGTCGTCAATTTTAATATTTTATTTACCCATCTTCAAATTGTATCACTCCAAAACTTTCTCACTTGCTTCTGTATTATATACAGTTATCAAGTACGTCTAGACCTAAGCAACTAAGCGTTAAAAAGGTTTGGAAATTTCAAAGAGTATTGAACAAAGTAGACACTAGTCTTCTCTTTTTTATTTTATTGACTACGTATTAATTAAGTCATTTATTTCTTAGTATTGAGTTAAATAATGAAGTTAATTAAAGGTAATCAAATAAAATTGTTGTTCAATTTGTTAAAGATTTTATTCCAGTTAGACCATTCTGCCCACTAAGATCAGATAAATTCAATTTATGTTCAAAACCAAAAATTTACAACCTTAAACGTTCTAATTAAAAGGGCTTCCTAATAAAGTAGTTGACAAAGGTTATGTTGATGAGCTATGAAAAAAATATTCCGTGACAAAAAAATGTGAAGGGGCTTTAGTTGAATTTGTTAATTATTAAAGTTATTTAAAGATTCCCTTTATGACAAAATTTAAAAAATTTTAATTAATTTAATAAACTAGTTTTATGAAAGACTTTATAAAGTATATAAACATTTCCATTTCAAATTATATTTTATTTAACATTACCAAGCATTTCAAAAACCCTATTACTAGTCCTATATGACCCGCAACCCTTAAAAAAAATTCAAATTTAAAAACAAAAACGACCAACTTTTTTGTTTAACTAAGGAAAATTACATTAAAATGTATACTTAAGGAATTATTCAAATTAGTAGATAGCATAATTCGAGAAAAGGTTAAATTTAAACGTTTCCATGAAACTGAAAAAGGTAAGCCATACAAAATAAAAATGAGAATGAATGAAACCATTTTTTAAGACTCTGCCCTGCAGTAATTATACTACGGCCATAAATGCCTGGTTTGTTCCTGAGCAGAAAAAATCAGTAATAAATTCATTATCACGATTGAAATAAAATCAATTTTTTATTCCACAAAAGATTTTTATTTTTCCATTTTAATTAAATAATAATAATTTAATAACAATTCTTACTCTGTTATACCTAAAGTCAATTTTTTATGTCACTAAAGCAAATGTATTTTCTTTTTTATACATCAACAAAAAAATTTCAGTATTACACTTTTCATATTTCCATAAAGAAAAACAGCAATAAACTATTGTTGTCAACTGGCGTATCTGAAGATATATTTAAAGCATTTCCGACATCACTGGTCCAATGACATTTTCAACAGCTCAGCAAATTTTTTCTCATCATATTGATTTCTATGAGTGGCATACACTGATAATTTCACACGTTTTTACCGCCCATCGTGCCAGCAAATAATATTAAAAGGACTCTTTACCACAAAAATAGAATTTGACTGTATCAAAAAGTCTATTTTTAATCGACGTAACGCAGCCAATATCGCAGAAAGCGAAATCTACTCATATCACTCGCAG